CCGAAGCCGACGATGCACCCTGAGCCACAGTAGCTGCTGTCTTAGATTTTGAAATAGCCCTCTTCCTTGGAGCCATTTCAAACTCATTAGAGAAGATGAACATGATTCTTGTTAGAAGGTCGCCGGAGAAGAATGAACGAAGATCTTCATTAAGTTCGTCGGAGAAATGAGATAAGAAAGTCAAATGACTTTTGATTTGACCTTTGGCGGTCTATTTATAGACAGTTGGAGCTGTCAAATCGGGGTGAGATTTTAGGCAAAAATACCGCCTATACGTGATTTTTGCGTTCCCATAAAGTCGATTGGACTCCCAAAACGTAGGTCTCACCTTTGTGTTTTAGCTTTTAAACACAGCTCTTACCTCTGTGTTTTAGTTTTAAAACACAAGGTTTAATCCTGCGTTTCAACTTCTAAATGTAAAGGACCAATTCCGCGTTTTAGCTTTCTGATGTCAGAGTTATTGTACAGAGAAGCTAGCAATGGCCATCAATGTGATGAAAGTCAAGAAGAAACTAGCCAATGGCAAGAAGCTATGCAGCCTCTTGGATGAGTACAGACAGATTCTAATCGCTGTCGCTAATAACACTGAATTGGATCACTCGTTCAACTCTTCCTTTCAAAGGCTTTACATTACCATTAAAATTAACAAATATGTTGTTAAAATCATCACCCTTGATGAGCTGATCAAGGGAAGAGACAGAGCAAGTCCTTTAAAATTATCATTTTGGCTAAATTTGGGTTGCACCTTGGTATTCATCAATACCTACAAGGATCATTTTAACCAAATTTGGGTTGCGCCTTGGGTGTTCATCAATACCTACAAGGATCATTTTAACAAAATTTGGGTTGCGCCTTAGGTGTTCATCAATACCTACAAGGATCATTTTGGTCAGATCCAAGCTGCGTCTCACATATTCATCGAAGTCTACGTATTTAATATCATAGTGGGTTGTTATTAATAATGCCAAAATTCATGCCTCACACGCATGGGGAATTTTGTCTTGATCCCTAATTAGAAATAAGGCATCGCCTAACACGCGTCGCCGGTTAGTCTTTTCCCCTGAAAATGACAAAGACTATGTATGCAATATCATAGAACCAAGCCTAAAAGAGGTTATTCTTTTAGCGCAACGTTACATGTGGAATAGACTAAGACAATTCACATGCTCACCCGATTTCAAATGGTAATCGGTAAAGGAACATCAAATCCGTTGATGGCTGAGGATTTGCCAAAAAACGTATTACGTTGCAGGTCACCAGCATATGGATCCTGTGTAGCAAATTTCCATAATCAGATTCATGATATCTTCAAATAGATATAGTGAACCATCATTCAACAACAGATCTCAAACCAATTTGGGGATCCAAAGTATTTCAAAAATTCGTTCTAGTCAAC